CGGAGTTCGCCCGTCGCTCCGGCATCCTCTTAATATCACCTTAACAATGCCACCCAAGCTCTAACTAAAATTCCTATTTCTTTTTCTCCTTAGAATCAAACAACTTTTATCTAAAAAGTTTTCTTCTAAAACTTATAGGTTTTGAGATATTTGCCTGTTAAGATTAAAAAGACACCTTGTATATGTGTATATACAGGGTGTCTGATAATAATCGCCCCACTCGTAATGTGCAAGTAGAGCAGGTAAATCCGAATCGGAAAGTCCTCTACCATTTTGCGATCTTCACAATAATTAATAAGAAATTAATTAAGAAAGATCGGCCAATTTGCGCGAGTATTACCGCGTGGTGAGAAATAACGGCCTGATATGGGAGGCATTGATATGTGGTTGCTAGGACGCGATGACCATCGTTATGTACCGCTCGTACGTAACTGTTGTCATTTGAAGAGCGCTCCTCCCAAAACTTTGTCGCGCGCTTAGCGACCGCATACTTTTGGATTATCTCTTCTCGCTGCTTATACTCGCGTGACTTGGTCGATTATTTTTAATTAATTTCTCAATAATTATTACGAAAATCGCAAAATAGTAAAGAACTTTCCTGCTCGGTTTAACCCGCTCTACCTGCACATTATGGGTGGGGCGATTATTATCAGACACTCTGTATATGTGTATACATACGTGTATATATGTAAGTATATATATATGTATGTATACTGATATTTTCTAAAACTGAAAATTATGCTGGTTTAAAAGATTCTGTATAATATTTTCCTAGGAAATGGTAGATAAAACAAACAAATTAAGATTATAACGACAAAATACAGGCTGTCCTGTAAAAGTCGGCGCATCACCTGCTGATGATAGATTCTAGGGATCATTTAAAGACAATTTTTCTCGATAAAAATGTCCAGGCATATCAATAATTTTCAATTATAAGCAATTAAAAAGAAAGGTTTTTTGCACATTAAACTTTATGAAGAGTTAAAAGATCAATACAAACTACATTCTTCAGTTAATTCCAGATGGAGTTTACTTAAGTAAAAAAAATTTAATTTAAAATTTAATTACAAAAATATATGAAACATTGAAAATTTGCAAAAAATTATGATCTCTCTCGATATTTTTGCTGACGAAAAATCGTTTTCTTAAGGTCCAATGACCTTAAGAATCTATTATTAATAAATGATGTGCCGATCCTGGGATTGTATGTACATATATATAGATACATATTAAGAGGTCTTCCTAGTTTGACACTCTGAAAATAACGCGATTCTTGGGATTTTTTTAAAAGAAAAGTATAAAACATATTAATTCTAAATTTTGCACGTTTATTAAATAACATTTTAAGTACATCTTAAATTTTTTTCAAACAAAAATATTTGTTTGTTTCGAAGTTATAGTAGTCCAACTATAGGATGTCTAAAAAAAAATTGTTGTTCGTGGCGAACATGATTCCAGCCGTTATAGTCATCTAAAATAAAAAAACCAAAAAGATTTTTAATCTGTATGAGTGTGGATATCGCGCGAACCAGAATAAAAAAATATTGAAAAATAAAAAAATGGCAACGTCTCAAAAAAAAATTTTATTTTTCACCAAAACATTGGTTAGTTTTGTAAGTCGCAAAATTCGAATTTTGCAAATATCGATTTAATTCTAATTCACACGATAGCCACATTCATACAGATTAAGAAACTGTTTGGTTTTTTTATTTCAAATGATTGTAACGGCTGGAATCATGTTCGCCACGAATGACTATTTCTTTAAAACAGATTCCCAAACATCGCTTTATTTTCAGATCGTCAAACTAGGAAGACCCCTTAAAGGACCCCTTAAAAGAATCTCTCATTGACGATAAATAAGTAAAAATATGTCTTTCGAGTATTTTAGAAATTAATCTGTCCAAGTGTTTTTTTTTTACGCGCTTACAGACGCTCGAAGAAGGACATACGTTCTTGTCTGAATACACAACATTTCCTT